TTCTTCTTCTTCTTCTTCTTCTTCTTCTTCTTCTTCTTCTTCTTCTTCTTCTTCTTCTTCTTCTTCTTCTTCTTCTTCTTCTTCTTCTTCTTTTTGTGTGTGTATTTCTTAACTCTGCTAGTAAATTCTAAATGACCTCTAATGTACTACTTTCTACTATGCGTAGCAAGATCTATTGTCCTGAGTTCAGTGGATTTTACTACTGTAATTAAATTTTGTAATATGTCACATTTGGTTTTCAGAAGGTAATTCATCTTCAGTGTGTATGACCTAATCCTGTGAGCCATTAGGTATGTGTTTAACATTAAAGTCAGTGATTGAAAAGATGACTAGGGATGATGTGAGGGTGATGGGGGGCACCACAAATAACAGCATTTCAGAGCTTAGAGCAGACTTAACTGTTAGCCAGTGAAGAAATGGGACTTACGTCCTGTAATTGAAAGGAGTTGAACTCTATCAAGGATGGTCTTGGAATTGAGATTTATATCCAGAGCCTCTGAAGGAGAACCAAGCCCAGCTAGTAGCTTGGTGTTGGCTTTGTGGTATGCTGCGCAGTGGAACCAGTTGAAATGAGTCAGATTGCTAACTGTGAGCTAATAAATGGGCATTTCTTTCAGCCTCTAAGTTATGACTACACTACAGAAAATTAATACAAAGCTTGTGAACAACAACTGAGGAGTATAGGTAGCATGCACCACTGTGTATCTCATATACTTCGTAGGAAGATGGGCTATAACAGGAGGTTTCTCATCCCACCAGGTCCCACAGCCACTATTAAAATAACTACGCAGAGGCTTAATATTAATTATATACTGTTTGGCCTAATAGCTCAGGCGTATTATTAACTAGCTCTTACAGCTTAAATTAACCTATTTCTTTTAGTTTATATTTTACCATGAGGTTTGTTACCTCACACCTTGCTTTTCTGGTGGCTGCTTGTGTTTTCTAGACTCTGCCCTCTTTTTCCATTAATCTTTGCTTGGATTTCCCAGCTGTCTCAGTTCTGTCTGGCTATTGGCTAAATCAGCTTCTTTATTAACCAATGGTAATAAAACATTCATAGCATACAGAAGGGCATCCCACATCAATGGGCATATAAAGAAATTAAGTGGTGGGCAAGAAGTTTGACTGATATCCTATTCTCTCCACTAACCCCTTGCACTTAATACAGTCTGGACTTTTGTGTGGTACCAGCAACATCTAGCAGATACTTGGTATTCAGCAAGTCTTTTCAGACCATACAGGTTATGGAAAAGGAGGGATTATGTGGAGATAGAAGGAAGCTGAAGGCAGGAAAGATGAAGATCCTAAGTGTATAGTGAGTCAAAGAGGCTTAGAAGCTGTGGACCATGGATATTGTCTTGGCGCATTAGGACTGCTGGCACAAATACCACAGAGTAAGTAGCCCACAAAGAGCAGAAATTTGTTTCTCGTAGTTCTGGAAGCTAAGAAGTTCAAGACTGGGATGACAGTTGATTTCATTTCTGCCTGCTCTGGTTCTAGATTGCTGTCTGTACCTCATATCCTTACCCGATGAGAGGGATATGCTCTTTGATCAGGGCCCAGGTCCTATTCTGAAACCATAGCAAATGTCTGTGGCTGCTGTCAGAGTTGGAAGGAGCTGAGAATTACAAATAGATGATTGTGGTGGGGATACCCAGTAGCTGAGTATAATAGTGTCAGTGAAGTAGTGGGTGTTAAAACAAGATTTCAACCATTCAAATAAGAAGGAGGCTCTTAGAGCCTCTTACTGAGGAGAACGTGTAGTTGTGATATAGAGTGAAAAGTGCTTGTCCTCCACTTGCACATCGTTTTTGTGCAAAGTAGCTACTGTATAGCCAAGAAAGTTACTTCTGGTCTTTTAGGAATTGATATTGGCATGTCCTCACTGATACCTCGTTAATGTTCTATATTTATAAAGCCGGCTGTTGACTATAAGACATGAATGCTGTGTTAGATTTCTATCACCATGACTCGTACTGAGACAGGCAAGATTTATTTTCATTTATGTTTTCAGAAGTTTTAGGCCTTGGACATTCACTTGGTTCTTATGGACCTGAGGTGAAACTGAACATTATGAAGGATTGCAATGTACAGGAGACAGACATAAGTAGAGAGGATGAGGCAAAAGACGGAGGAATTAATAAATTCTATGAAGGCATAGCTCTAGTGGCCTGTCATTAAACCATGAATCTTAAACTGGATTAATCTTTTTATTAAGTG